AGATGGAGTAAAATTGGTCTCAAGAAAGAAACAGCATACTGTGACTATATCTCAGTCAAACAAATTCTGTCTTTTCAATGGTCAATAAAAAAGATTTTATGATTATATAGGGTGTTCTTTCAGAAAAAGCTTTGATCTCCAAAAGCCATTACATGCAGTCTCATTTTAATGACCCTTTAGCTGCTAAGCCAAGCAGTAAGCTCTGTATCTATGGTCTGTGGACTAACATAGCTTGGGTTAAGATACATAATGTAGAAGGATTTCCTATCTTATCATGTACCTTCATAGCACAAATAACAGCTACAGAGCTGAACTGAAATTTGATTGTATTTTGGGACACCAATCTGCCCACCCTGAGGGAATACACAATTTAGTGGCACCAGTAAAAACCAGTTTTTGTATTGAAACATTTATTTTCTCACTTTATCCCCACTATAAGCTTCTGAGGTAGATTGCTTCTGAAATCCTCATTTTAGAAACGGAGAGAGAGGACCCAAGAAGAGGCTAACATGGGCAAAGTGCTGGTATAAAATTGATCTACCTTGACTTCTTTTGGATCTGTGGGATGTCTGAATTTTTTATAAAAACACAATTTTGCCAGTCACACTGAAAATGCTTTCTATTTTCTTTTTAAATTTTCTTATCAAAAAACTTAGAAAAAAAAATTCTGGGCTTCTCCCTGAAGGTCTTCTCTGGCAAGGCCATTTTTCCTCTTTAACTTTGGTTTTTGCATTCTATATGTAAGCAAAGAAGCAAAGTTCAACTTGTTAGGAAAAAGTCATTGTAGGAAAAAAAGACTTAATTGTGAAACCAGATGGTAAGCATTATTCAACTGATGGGCTAGTAGATCTGAGTGAAGGTGTGGTAATATGATCTTGGTCCGCAGCTGTGACCTGTTGTTCCAGAACAGCCCCTTTCCTCCCTGTCTTTTGAGGCTAAATTCCAGCACCTCTCCCTCCATTTTTGTGGGCACCCAGCCCTCCCAGATTGCTTTGACAGATGTGTAAGAATGAAATGAAGCTTGTTCAAGGAAGAGCAACCCATGAGCATGTTTTGAATAGCCTCCTCCCTAGGTTCCTTGTAAAACTGGCAAATCGGGTGGAATGTTCTGCACTCTGAGAGACAAGTTTCCCAGCACTCAGACTGCCCTGAGCCCATCATGATGTCATTAAGATGTCCGTCTTGCAAAAACACACATCAACTCTCTCCTTACCTCCCCTAACAAAACACCAGTCAATGCTTTCTCTTTTGTTTCCTTCCTCAGCAAAAGGTACCACCATACCTCCTTCTCCCCAGTTGAAAATCTAGAAGTCATCCTGCACTCACTAAAAACTTTCCTAGTCTTCTATACCCATGTTTCCTCATGCTGCTGCCCTCATTCAGGCTCTCATTATTTCCCTTCTAGCATTTGGAAATATCTAATTTTTTTAACCTTATCTTGATCATTTTCTTCTTCCACTCTGCCACTAATGTGTATCTTGAATGAAAATCTGAATGGTGAGGCCACTAAGGTTACAATCCTCTAGGGCAGGGGTGGGTGCGCACTGTTATAAGCACTGTCTGCTATTGTTATATGCCTCTAGGAGTAAGAACCAATGCTGGACTGGAAACATTTCATCTGTCAGCCAGATACAAAAGGCCTTCATGACCTTGGATATCTTATCTTCTGTCACTTCTGCTTCCGACATTACAATAAATGACCATAAACTATTTGTACTTCCTCTTATTCTCATACTGTGGCATACTATTCCTTGGTTTTGTGCCTTGGCCTGTAGGAATTCCTCCCTCAGAAACGTGCTGGAAATACAAACTGCCAAAAGCATTGTTCCTACTGCGTACATGTTATTTTATTCCTCATTTTGGTAGGTGTTGACTCTTGAACTGCTCAGATCATGACTGATGCTTCCTTTGCTCCCTCTCTCTTTTCCTTCTGGTTTTCCTCCTCACACCCAAGTGCAAGTCCCCTCATAATCAGGATGGTGTAGTCTCAGAGCTTTTTGGAAATGCCAGGTCTTGCTGGTTCAATCATGCTTTGAAGTTCTCTCCTTGAGCTGTGTTACACTTGAACCTGCGCCACTCATGGTAGCAATAGGTAATGGTGGCCAGGTACATGTGCAAGCAAGGAGGGCTTTTGCAAATTGGACCTCAGTTTGATCCTCCCCATATCCTGTTGGGTAAGCCAGGAGCTATTACTTCACCCCTTTACAGAGCTGAAATGGAGGATTTTTTTTTTCTAAATTCATCGACATGTTTTACAGGTGTATACTTGACTCTATAGACTGTGTTGATATCTCAAGTCCTGTAACCTGATTTAGTGATGGTTGGCTACTTCTTATTAAAGGGGCTTGGGTGTGATCTGTTTTTGTTTTTAGAAGCTCAAAGGGAAATCCATAATATGAACAAAATTTATTTCAGAATATTTGTACACTGTGGCTTAAGAGCCTAATCACCTTGGAATATTCCAGGCCCCCTACTCCCCTTGTTTAATATGTCGTCATTTTTTGGTCAGTTTGATCCTTGACACATCTGTAAAAGAGAAGGGAAGGAAGAAGAGGGGGAAATTTTGCATGATTGGTTTTGGATATTGATTTCTGAGGCCTGTACTATAAGTCACTGAAATTATTTGATTAAGTCTTAAAGATTCAAATACAGTGTGGTTGGGCCTAATAATAATACTAAAAACAGTTCCTTTCAGTGAGGGAGAAGGGAGAAGCTTCTGAGTTCCTCAATGAAGTGTCCATGCACATTCACTCCTGTCGGACTGTGGTATTTCCCATTTCCTGCATCCCATCTAGCAAGGATCCAAGCCTAATAGGCTAATTTCTAAGACCATGGGTCTCTTTGGAAAGATCCTGTTCTTCTTGAGGTTTAACACTGAAAGAAATCAGAAACAACAAATGACTGTATTTGCATTCTCTCACTTTTTAATGAATTCATGCAGCTCCAGCAAATATATGAGAATTAGGAATATTCTCTTCTTTATGGAAGGAAAAAAAGATCATTCTATTTAAAATATATCTGCGCATTGCTAGTATTTAATCAAGCTCTGGATTTGAGCTCAATTAGAGCTTTGATAAAAGTAAGGAGAAAGGAAACGTGAAAGAATGCTCTGCCATTCATGAGGGGCCTGTGTGTGTTTTTCGTTTCGAACTAAATGAATAATGGGACCATGCATTTTCCATGTTGGTATTTTCCGCCCTGAGAATAATTCCCTTCCTGGCTTCTCAATGAATAATGCATTATTTCTGAAACCCAAGAGGCATTCCTTTGATTTTTCCTTTATGTTTAGCTTTCTGAGTGATTTTCAATAAAGGAAATTCAAGGACTTGGAATGAATGCTTGATTAACATTTTTATTGAAGTTCAAGAGCTCTTTGGCTATTATCTCCTGATATTTGGAATATTATTTTTTTCTAAGGAAAGTCTAAGGTATCATATTTATTAGAAAATGAAGCACCTTGGACCGTCTTCAAAGTGAACAGCAGTTTAAAACCAATACACATTTGTGTTGCAGAACAAAGAGCTTTGTGGGGGTACTTTTCTCCTTGCTTCATTTTCAGTTCCCTGCTGAAAAGGTTCAAAAGAGAAAGCTCACATTCAAAACTGGGCTGTTTAGAGACTAAATCTCATTTGTTTACATTCTGGGATATTCATAACTTGAGGCTAGTCCAAATCCAAGACTTCAGCCCAAGTATGCCTGCATCCACCAAGGCCAGCACACTGAAGTCTAAAGATTCCATTGCACTTCTGGGTCATGCTGTTCCCCATCTGCTCATTAGGCAGTCTGATTGTCCATATGGAGCCTATTAGGTGAGGTGTAATGGGACACGATGGTATCCACTAGTCACATTAGCTCACGTCGTTTCAATCAAGGATCCCCTGGAGATCCTGAGGTAACCTGATGGTACATTTTAATGATATTTCTCAGCTTCCATTTTCCTTGTGATTCAAATGATTAGTGACTTCAGAAACAAAATGGAACTAAAAATGGAATTAAAAATATATTCTACATTTCCATTCCCTTTAGGATTATAGTAAAATCTTAATTCAGAATAATTGGGGAAAGAAAGAGAACAAAGTTGATCAATTGAAACATAGAATTTGGTTTAAAATATTTAATTCTATTAGTTTCAAGAAATGGAAAAATAAGGTAGTATTTTCTAGAACATGGACTCTGGAGCCATCCTCTAGGAGCAGAAAGGCTGGAGTTTGTCTCCTGTCTGCCACTTTCCAGTCCTATAGCCTTGAGCAAGGTATTTAAACTTTTTAGGCCTCAGTTTCTTCTTCTGTACAAAGGTGTTTATTAGTCAAAGTGTTGTAAAGATTAAGTGAGTTGTTATTTGGAAAGCATATATCAAGCAATATATAAATGATTGCTGAATAAAAATAAAATGTACATTCTATGCTTGAAAATTATTATTTTCAACCAGGACCATTTAACTGAGCAGGTAATAACAATATTATTACTGTCACTGTAAATTCATATAGGCAATTATTTTCTTAACATTCATTTAATTCTTACAACAAATCTCGTGTGGTAAAATATAATCATCTCTATTTTTCAGATGAGAAAAGTGGGGTGAAAAAGTAATTCACCTAAGTTTACCCAGTTCATTAAACAGCTAAGCAAGCACTTGAGCCCAGGCAAACTGAAATCAGAAAGTGTGCCTTAGCTACACATTAAAGGACATTTGTCATATCTTTTGCCTGAAAACGCTCCATTGCTATTAAGAACCATGTCTTTATAAGAGATGGTAGATCCTGAATATCTCAGTTGCTTATCAAACTTGTGTTTTGCTAAAAATAATCACCATCGTTGTCTCCATACTCAATTTTAGCAGGATATGAATTAATGAAATGTTACTAAGTCAATTATTTTATCATTATTTTTTTTGATGATTAGTGGCCTCCAAGCTCAGTATTTTCATATTGAACTGAAATCATTTCATAATTTTTTATTCTCTTTTTTTAATCCTCTGGTCTCTCACCCTGTCCTCATAGGTGCCTTCATCATCTGCTGGACTCCGGGATTGGTCTTATTACTGCTAGATGTGTGTTGTCCACAGTGCGACGTTCTGGCTTATGAGAAATTTTTCCTCCTCCTTGCTGAATTCAACTCTGCCATGAACCCCATTATCTACTCCTACCGGGACAAGGAGATGAGTGCCACCTTCAGACAGATCCTCTGTTGTCAGCGCAACGAGAACACCAACGGCCCCACGGAAGGCTCAGACCGCTCGGCTTCCTCCCTCAACCACACCATCTTGGCTGGAGTTCACAGCAATGACCACTCTGTGGTTTAGAAAGGAAACTAAGATGCAAAGCCAGCTTTCCTCTATGGAGAGATGAACGGCCTCCCCACACCTGATTGCCAGGCAGGGTGGGGAATGAGAGAGGAGGGAAAGAAACTCTGGTACTTAAACACTAACCAATGGCAGTATTTGTTCCTAGACCCCACGAGACTTGATGTATATTGAATATTAGTTTATGTGACAACCCTCATCCTGACCCCATTCCTTTTGAAGGTAGAAAGTAGAGTTCCTGCAATGGAATTGAGAAATGGACTCTGGAGTGTCCATTCAGACGACACTAACTAGACTTGAAAAGATTCTGTGTGGTTTGGTGCAAGTCAGAATAAATTCTGACAAATTGAGTCCACAACTTCATTTACATGCAGCCTTCCCTTTTTTATTTTTCAAGATGCATTTCATTTAATAAACACATTTATGTCTTTTCAGCATGTTTGTGATGGATAAGACTATAGACTGTTAAACTACCGTAATTTCATTTTTTTTCCTATGTAGGAAAATTGTAAATTAGAATTATTATTTTTTATTTAGAAAGCATGCATGTAATGTATGTATGCAGTATGCCTTACTTAAAAAGATAAAAGAATAGTAATTTTAAATCTTCTAGGAAATAGAAGAACCTAGTTGTCAAAACCAGTATTTGTTTAGACTATGAAAGAAACAATGTTCTAATCACAATATTACGTTTTTATTAAAGTGTTGTGACAAGTATAAAACAGGGAATACCAGTTTATTGCCAAAAGAATATGTACTCTAAAGTCATAGAAGATGAAGCACAATAATTTTTTTCTGCATATTTAAAATATACAAGTACATTCTTATTGCCAGTACATCAGAGGAAATTTTTAATAGCCCATTTTTTCTGAGTTATAAAATAATACCTAATTGTTGTAGAAAACTTGAAAATTGCATAAATGTGTAAAAAAAAGGAAAAAAATGATTACCAATAATATCACAATCCAGAAGTAACATTCTTTAACAGTTTTCCCACGTATGCCTATGTGTATATTGTATACTTTTTTATGTAATTGGAATTGTACTGTAAACAGATTTAAAAGTAGCTTTTTAAATTACAGAATTGCCAGATTTTACTATGGCATTAAAATTTTTAACAAAAAAATTTTAGTGACTATATAATATTACATTTAATGGATGCAACTCAGTTCATTTAACCAATCCCATATTGTTGACTATTTACATTATTTCTAATTTTCACTATTATAAAGTTGCAAAAAAATGTGTACATAAACTGTGTCCATATAATTGATTATTTACTTGGGACCTATTCCCATGAAGGATTTTTTTTAAAAAATGTGAAATATCTTCTTATGCTTTTACCTTTTATAAAAAGGGGTTTCCTGCTTTTGTAGCACATGGTAGCAATTGTGAGGAAAGCCAATTAAATTACCTTCTTACAAAAGAAATGCAGTGGTTACTTTAGTTGAGATGACTTTTATTAATATTACAAGATGGATTAGGAACAGTCAAGTGTTATAATAACCAAGACACCCTAATATACCTATCAATTCCAAAGTTTGCTAAGGAACCATTTTTTTCCCTCTTTTGGTGGCCACAAATGTAATGTAGAATTAAAGAAAATGCAAAGAAATCAAATGTGCTGAGTGAATAAAGGATTGGTGTGTTATGTAGCTTGGGGCCCTTCTGTCTATATAGCAAAGGGATTGAGTGTGTCCATATGTGACTTGGCCACCGTGTATTCTCCAGGATTCACCTGCTGCCATCTTAGGTGACACCTGTTTAATACATTCTCAAGGTCAAGAAGTGATTGCATCAGTTTGTTGTAACAAGTGATGAGGAAGTAATGTGATCTTGAAGCAGGTATGGGGAAGTCAGGAGGACGTCTAAGAGAAAGAACTCCCGAAGAAGACTGACTGTCTTGGAAGGAGGGAGTCGGTATGTGCGTGGTCAGCCTGGAGAGGATAGACTTGAAAAGTGCCCACAGTGAAAAGAATGTGAGGAACCAGTCAGCAGAAAGGTGTTGGTTGCACATACTTTACCAAAAGTACAGAACATCTTATACTGGAAATGAAAGAAGTGAACTTGGACTTTTACTGATGTGCCTATTTTTATGGAGGAAATATGGACTATTTGAGATTAAAAGCATACTAATTGGACTCTAATAAATCATCCTCAATCAGTGTTTGGTCACGTGTGGCTCTGCTCAGTGCTGCTTGTCTTTTTTGAGTTTTCTCGCCTGCATGGCATGGTGTCTTCCCTCTGTGAGCTCGTTTATGTCCCAGCTACCAGGGATAAAGGACTCTGTGGTGAAGCCAGCCCATTCCGCCCCCCACCAGAACTGCTTTTTTCCCCCCCCCCCCCCATGGGTAGATAAACTTTATTCAAATGTCTGCATAAATATGACTTGATGTCAAATGAGAAATTTTCCCGAAGGGTTAAAATTTATTAAACAATAAAATTCAGTACTTCCTCTGGTCTGTCCCTGAATTTAGTTGACCAACACATCATTGTTAATAGTCTGCACTCATTGCTCATTTTCATCAGTCACATTTCTCAGATCTTTGAGTGGCACTTCCCATTTCTCAGGACATCTCTTAAATTGCTTTCAGTAACAGAAGGACAAGGATGTTATCTGCTCATTTCTACCCGAGAGGCAAAACCACATCCCTTGATCAGAACTGCTTTTTTCAATCTGAGTAATAGTTTTTCCAGTGCCTCAGAGATTGGGGTTTCTGTCCCATGAAAGGAAAGACAATGTGTTAGTACTGTACTTTACACCAACAGGATAACTGGGGGAGTCGAAAAACAAAACAAAACTCTGATTTTATGGAAACTTTGACAACTTTATAAAATAAAAACCATTCACTTCTATCACTCAGAGTTTATAAGTCAGTGGTCTTTCTGTTCAAGGATTCAATGACTAATGTCAAAAGTGATATCTCTTCCAATGATATGTCCTTTATAATCTTATCATCAGTATATCATTAAGGTGTTAGAAAAAGATAAATATCTATAATGACCCAATGAGTTATTTGGAAGAGAATTTTCAACCTTTAAATTTGGGTAGGTGGAAGATTGTTAGAAATCAAATATCTTTGAACTCTTCTTTACCAATTAGTCACCCCTCACATATTCCCTTTTTTTCCTTTTAGTTAGTGAAATCATGATTTTCTAGACTGGAAATCTCACCTAACATTTGTTATATAATTAATTAATTATCCATCTTTTTTCTTTCCCAATTAACTATTGCTTTGGGTTCTATTATTCACCTTCCTTCTAATATATTCCAATTGTCTCTCAAATTTCTGAAATATTATAACTTTGTAATATTGTGTCTAGACCCTCCCTTTAACCCCCTGGAGAGTGCAGAAATGTATCAATCATGTCCCTTCACTATACTAAGGTAAGCAGAACATTTTTATGGAAAACCCTTTTGAAACAAATCACTTATTTTTTGAACACCAAGTCAACTTCACTGGAACTCTCATATGGGTTTAGCTGTGGGTTAAGTTGAGGCAGCTTGTGACTGGGCTGAAATTAGGCACCACTTGCTGGAAGAAATGTGTGACATTAGGAGCCAGATGTGTTATGAATCTACCTGATCAGAGCCCATTCACCTGCTAGCTATCTAGCAAATTCTCTAAAGTTTTAAGGCTCATATTCACAGATTATTTTTTATTATGCTGTTTAATGATAGAACATGTAAAACCATTTAAATACTAAAATAATTCAGCCAAATTCACCTATTTTTATATGACCCTCGAGCTAAGGACAGATTTTTGCTTTTAAGTGGGAAAATGTCTTGTGACAACAAATATTATGTGAACTTTAAATTTCAGTGTTCATAAAGTTTTATTAGAATAAAGGCTCAGGTTAGTTTATTGTCTATGGCTGCATTTATACTATACTGGCAGGGTTGAGTTGTGATTAGGACTTTATGGCCCTCAAAATCTAAAATGTCTCCTATTTGGCCCTTTAAAGAAAAAGTTTACCAACCCTTGATTTGGAGGATTCCATTTTCAATCATTCTGTCCACATGACTTTGAATCTGCATTGCAAGACTAATGACCAATTTGGTACAAGATCTCTTAATCCAGCCATCTATGACAGACAATTCTCAGTTGAATTTTTTTTATAACTAAAGATAATCTTTATTTTGAAACGATCTCAAACTTGCAGAAAAGCTTGCCAGATTGACAGAATTTGTAACTGTGAAATTCTGAAAGGATACAGAATCGTTCAACTGTAGGTAGACAGCATTGCAGGGGTCCTGCCCTAGTCGGGTCCAGGGAGTCCTGAAGGATGAGTGGCGTCCGCAAAAAGATGAAACAGGAGTCGTTCTGTTGGAGCAATCTCCAGAGAGAGAGCTCTAATGCAGCTTTCTCTGGATCATCTTTTATTACAATTTTTCTCATCAGAAATTCAGAATACGTCATTGATTATACAATTTAAAACTTTTGCCAAGACATGACATTTCCTTAACCATAATTTAGGGGTACAAAAAATGTAACATTAATTTACATTTTTCCAGGATATGACCTTTAGTTATTTAATTATTAAAAGTACAGAATCATTAATAAAATGCATCACTAATTTACATTTTTCAGATTTTTCCCAAGATTTACTTTTTTCCCCAAGATATGCTATTTTCTTATTAACTAATGCCAAACTACATAACCAGATTCTAAGTCTCCTAACCTATCATTAACCTTTAAGTTTAAAGTACCTTTACTTTATTTCTAATCTAAAATTCCCATCTAAAAAAGTCCCCTTAAATCTTATACTTAAAATATCCTAAAGTTTATAAATCATTCTGAAAACAGAAACCCATACAACTAAAAACTTAAGAGTTTCTAAACCAAAATTCTAAATAGGATAATATTTCTAACATTATTCTAAAAATATATCTTATAAAGCTACTTTAATTAATTCCTAAATTTATTCTCATAAAACTGGTTGAGCTGCTTTCTCAGAGAGTTTCTTTGTTTCTCAGTCAAGGTGCACTAGTTCTCATATCTTTATAATCTTTCTCAATAGAAAGTAAGTCCTAAACATCAGTCCACTTTCCGCCAATATTAACTATGCTCATCATAAATCCCTATGTAAAGTAAAAAAAGGGTTTATAAAAAGAGAAGAATATATCTTTATATGTTTTAACTTTCCTAAGTGTATAATATAACTTTCCTCAATCAAGAATGAGGCTACATATGGTGGGCTTTGTAAAATAAGCATAATGATTAGGTTTTCCTAAGAGGCCGGAAATATGAGCTTGGGTTCTAGTTGACATAATCAATGTGGTGCCTAAAATTCTCATGACCTTTCAGAGGATGATTGTTGTCCATTATCAGATTTGTCCTGAATGTACTGAGATAGAAGAACAGCCTTCTACTTTGTCCTTGATATGCTGAGGGGTAGTAGAACAGCCTTCAAAGCATGAACTACCTGTTATGTT